AATTTTTGTTATTAAGATTTTTTTTAAAAATTGCCCAAGTTTTGACTGAATGATGCTAATCTTTGTATATTGAGAAATTATTGGTAAATCCATTTATTTATTGGTAAATCCTTTTATTTCTACTGCTATCTGCTCACTTTTCCTGGTGTTTGAATCTTCAGACTGTGAGTGCTGTTTCTTTGCAGCTGAAACAGTGCCACACACAAACAAAACAAACAGCAGACTTTAGGAAACCACAAGATTTGCAGCAGTACAATTAAAACAACAACAACACTATTTCTAGGAAACAAAATCCTGGGAGTCGGGGAGAAAAACAGCCCATGCAGCTTAATGGCCATGGAAGGCTGACTTTTGGAGGAAGAGTAGGGAAAAAAGACAGAGAGTGGAGATGGAATAGGATGTAGTGGCCTGCTAGCCTGAACACACTGCAATATTTTGTTGCAGACCCCCCACTAAATCCTGTTATTAGTTATTACTAGAGTAAACCCATTGAATCAATGGCATTTACCTATGTGTTGACTCACTATTCACTGACTGAATGGGTCTACTCTAGTTGGGAGTAACCAACAGAATGCCAGCATCTATATGTTAATTGCTGCTGACTTTTCCTTAATTATAATAAAATGACATTTTATTGTGAGTCATTTTAGAAATTTTCTTTCAAAGGGAGAACTAGGTGTAAAAGCTTGGAAATTAGTACAAAAATCCTGATGGCAGGTCAATATTTTTATCCCCTTATGGAAAGGAAAGGAGGGGTTGAGGCCAAGAAAAAAAGTGTCTTACCCCAGGCAATGTGGTATAAGACAATTTTTCTCAGACTTAAGGCATTCATGGATGAAGTGACATTTCAAGTGAAGACTTGTTTGTTGGTGCATTCTCTCTTTAGCCACTGAACCAGCAGTCTTAAAAGAAAACAGACTATTAAAGCATTTTTATTTTCATACACACAAAACTCCATATATATATATATATATATATATATATATATACATACAAACACACACACTTATTGCTCGCTGTTTGCAGACTTGCCATCCGCGATCTCGGTTTTTCGCAGATGGCAAGCGGTGAGGGACAAAATGGCACGCACACCTGAGGCTCACATGCAGCACCGCACACAGGAGCATGCAGCCATTCTATGCAATGGGGCTCCAGTATTTGCAATATTTCTGATTCACGGGGGCGGGGGTCCAGAACAGATTCAGAAGAAATGACTGTATATGGAGGGGCAGGGGAGAGATGAAACTATCTAGCATTCACAATTTAGCTTCACACATCTGTGAAGGCAGCAAAGTTTAACAGGATATGTTTTTCTTCTTAGGAAAAAATAGTTTACTTGCATTTTATGTTTATCTGCATTAAGGTGCTCATAGAAGCCTATCAGTGTATAAAAAAGAAAGAGAAAGTGGGGGTGGGTGGGAGAGACAAACAAGGGAGGTTATGTAAAGAGACAATACAGAAAAACAAACTGCACTATCAAAATAAATCATACATATCAAGGATAATAGAAATGGGCATTTTAGATATACAGATAGCACCTCTGACAAAATGTTGCACAGTACTATCAACTGGTTATCGTGGCTCCTACAGAATCCTGGGATTTGTAGTTTAGGGAGGTATTTAGAATTTTCTGCTAAAAGGTTCTTGTGCACTCGCTGAACTACAGTTCCCAACATATCCTCATTTAATCATCAGTCCTCTTTTCTCAGGCTACCTTGGGAACTGTAGTTCAACAGAAGACATTAAGCTTCTTATTAAAGAATACTAAGGACTTAAATAAGCTACAAATCCCAGCATCTCACAGGATGGAGCAAGGGTTTATTTCAACTGCTTCAAACCAAGTTCAAAGAGCAAAAGTAGCAAACAGTAGCAAACAGCCGAGGCGTGTGTTCTTCCTTGTTAATTAGATTTGCCATCTTGACTACACGGATGTTGTTTAGCCACGTGTGCTGGCTTTCATCTGGAAAATGTTGGAAGATAATGGGAAGGTAGGAAAAGGGCCCTTTCAAAATACTCCCACTAGGTTGGCTTGTAGTTTCAAATAAACCAGTGTTTACATTAAACTGGGTCCTGATGGCACAACAAACCATGGTTAGGCAATAATGGAAGCAAAAGCTGCCTAGCTGCTCCTTAGGGCCGCACTGGAAGAGGAGGGGGAGTGCATGAGAGCCAACTTCATTGAAGCTACTGCCACATTGCAGAAATAAAGCAGTCTGACACCACTTTAACTGCCATGACTCGATGGTTGGAATTCTAGGATTTGTTGCTTGGTGGAACATGTTCACCCTGCATACCCCGCACTGTATTCGGGGGTCTCCACATTTTCATATTTCATATCTGGAGCCCACATCTTCTTAAGAGGTCACAATGACCTTTGGAACAATAGGTGAAGTTCCCACGAGGAAAGAGTGAAGACCTGAGGACATGTGTACGATCCAGGTAATGCTACAGAACTTTTTAATTTTTTTTAAAAAAACACCTAAACTGGGAGGATTTTTTTAAAAAAAAATCAGCAGTAGGTAGGAGATTGAAAGATCATTTTACACAAAGGCTGCTACAACCAAGAAGATATTTTCTCTGAAATCAGAAAGGGTGTTGAAATTTGGTATTTGTATATATTAAGCAGAGCAGCAGTGTGCCCCAGTATATCTGAGCTTCTGATAATAATACACAAGATATTCTGGTAAAGTAAAATAAGATTTTACTTTATTGTTACAAAGAATCCATCTAATATCCAGTAAATTATAAATAGAAAAACTACTTTGGTGCAAGAGTTCCTAAAAGCTACCTCTCATGTGTGAATGTAAGTGAGGGAAAGCAATTTGAGGCAGAGCCTTTTGCCTGCATCCATCTTAGCCAAAAGGACAGAAACAAGGGAGAACAAAGAGTCATAAATCTGACTTTTAACCTTTAGGAGAGAAGGGGAGGAGATAAGAACTGACTTCTTTTAAATCACACTGACCATGGGAGCATAGGAGTTTATCACACTGGGAAAATTGGAAGTTTAAATGGGTAAGAGCCCACAATTATCCAGCGAATTAGGCGCAAATGCATGAATTGTTTTCACACGACATTGTGTGCAATCTGCACAGAATCTGACACAAAAGTGACATACACATTTTGGGGAATTATCATGAATTCATTTCTGTTTCATTCATGAATTCGCTTTTTTTTGTGCAATTACTGTAGTGTGAAAGCTACTTGTGGTTTATTCACAGGATTCTCCCTGTTTTTGTGTTTGTTGCCAGATTTCCCATGGTTCTTTGGGGCGAGTTTACTTCCAGTGCTGCAGGGCAATATGGGTCAATACCGTAATACTGCTTACAAAGCTCATAAAATAAGTACCCACCCTTCTTTGTAGCCAGAGCTCTTAAAACAAAC